TTGATTTTATTTCTTATTCCTCTACGCTGTTACTACCACTCTGCTTAGTAATAAATTAGATGAATTCCCTCCTAAGTTCGGTCTGTTTTGCTCGTGATGATAATTAGTGAGTGATCTCTCCCTGTCCTTATCTCGACCCATAAGCTTTTTGTTGTACTTTTTCTCCCCTGTCTAGAGAAGGAGGGGAGTGATAGAGCGGCTCTGGTGGGCACCTGACCAGCCAGGGTCAACCCACCACAAATCTCCATGCTCAATGCAGGTACAATCACAGCAGGTTAGCGAGGACTGTGTCCAGTCAGGTTTTATATATCTCCAAGGATGGAGACCCCACAGCCTCTCTGGGCAACCTGTTTCAGTGTCTGACCACTGTAAAAAAGCTTTTTCTTAATTTCAAATGGGATTCCCTGTATTTTAGTGTGTGATCATTGCCTGTTGTCCTTCCATTGGGCACCACTGAGAAGAATCTGATTCAGTCTTCTTTAGTCCTTCCAGTCAGGTATTTATGGATAAAGCACTGATGTGATCCCCCTTTTCCAGGCTGAACAATCCCAGCTCTCACAGCCTCTCCTCATATGACACATGCTCCAAGTCTTTAATCGTTTTGGTAGCCCTTTGCTGGACTTGTTCCAGTACATCCCAGTCTCTTTTGTAGCGAGGAGCCCAGCACTGGATACAGCACCCCAGATGTGCCTCACCAATGCTGAGCAGAGGGGAAGGATCACCTCTGTTGACCTGCTTGCAACACTCTGCCTGATGCAGCCCAGGAGGCTGTTGGCCTTCGTTGCTGTAAGGACACATTGCTGGCTCATGGTCAACATGTTGCCCACCGGGACCTGCAGGTCCTTTTCTGCCAAGCTGTTTTCCATCGGGTCAGGCCCATCCTGTCCTGGTGCCTAGGGTTATTCCTCCCCAGGGGCAGGACTTGGCATTTCCCTGTGCTGAACTTCAAGGAAGCTCCTTTCTACACATTTCTCCTGCTTTTTGTGGTCCCTCTGTGTGGCAGCACATCCATCTGATCTATCAATCACTCCTTCCAGTTTTGTATCATCTGCAAATGTGCTGAGGCTGCATTCTGTCTCATCGTCCAGGTCACTGGTGAAGATGTTAGACAGTGTTGGCCTCAGTATTGTCCCCTGGGCCATACCACTAGTGGCTGGCCTCCAGCTGGACTTCCACTGTGAGCTCAGCAGTTCAGCCAGTTTTCAGATCACCTCAGCATCTACTTATCCAGTCTGTACTTCATCACGTTGTCTGTGAGGATGTAGTAGGAAACATGCTATTGTCGTAGAATGTAGTGTTGAAAGCCTGGCTAAAGTTGAGATAAACAATGTTCATTGTTCTTCCCTCATCCATTGAGCCATCTCTCACATTGTAGAGGGCTATCAGGTTGCTCCTGCATGATTTGCTCTTCATTAAATCCATGCTGATGACTTTTAGTCACCTTTTTGACCTTAATATATTTGGAAATGCTTTCCAGGATTATTTCCTCCATCACCTTCCCAGGGATCGAGATGATGCTGACTGGCCTGTAATTCCCCACATCCTTTTCCTTGCTCTTCTTGAAGATGAGTGACATTTGCTTTCTCTCATTTCTCATAAATTCCCCTGATTGCATCAGCCTTTCCAACATTACAGAGAGTGGCCTCACAATGATGGTGGAGTTAGTCAACTTTATTCTTTAGAAATCTTTTTATCTACATGTGAGAGTTCACAGAATTGTATGATATTCATTCTAGCATGTAACATAACCACGTTCTATATGCAGATATTTGTTAAGTTTGGGATTTAGAGAGTTTCCTGAAATGTAACTTAATAATGAAGTTACAAATATGTGATAGAAAGCTAGTAACTGTAGTCTTACTGTTGTAAGTCTTACTATTGTAAATTACTGTATGTTCCTAAATAATTGTAATCCCCTATTTTAAGGCATATTCTTTGGGACTGTTCATACAGTTAAATTTAAGACGTGAAGCCAAGGTATATCAGCATGCTGTCCCTGCTAATTTTGTTTTGTTTTGTTTTATAGAATGGCCTTGTCACAAGCTCACCAGAAATATTCAAGCTAAAATCTTGCATCAGGAGAAAGACAGATTCAATTGACAAACGTTTCTGTTTCGATATTGAAGTATTTGAGAGGTTTGATTTTTTTTTCATTAACAAATTGAATATAATTAAAAATAGAATTACTTGCAACCAATATATAATAATTGCTTCTGTGATAGGAACACGTATTTCTCAATATGCTTGTATCCAGACAATCCAGACTTTCAAGACTTAGTTGTTCAAACCTGTTTTACTAACAAAATTCACTACATTTTATATGTGTTGTCTTAACTACATTATGTTTCCATGCAGATACAAGACGGATTCTTACAAAACATGTAGCACAACAAACTACTGTCTTATAGAAATAGATCATAAATATTTTTATAAATACTAATTAATAAGCATATTCTGTACGAATTTTATTTCTTTCATAAATGTATGATAGCACATAATTTTTCTTTTTTGAAAATAACTTATACAAATTTTTTTCACTTATTCCTGGATATTATAACTATATAGGATAGATGAAAACAGCTTTTCTGTATTTGAAGTATATGCACACAGTACTTTGTAAAAGTATTTTTTCAAGCTTGAGAATAAAGAGAAATATTAAATTAATTTTTCCCCTAAAACATGATAAACAGACTGACTTTTGTAGTTGTTCTCTCAAGAAATATTTTATGACTGTTACTGTCATTTTAAATTCCATTCAGAATTGCTGTTTTTACATGATAATTTTGAGGCTACTTTGGTACTTTCAAATATAATACGTTATTTTTCTAAAAAGGACTTCTGAGTGAGTTCAAGTTTAAGAAATAGAGATTTGATATGAACAAATGTTGAAACTAAGTGATCTCTTTGAAAGCTCCTAAGCTTGAATTGACAGGTTGAGTTTGAGATTGATAGTTGTTTCTTTCTAAGCAGAATTGCATTTATTAGCCACATTTGTGGCAGTACCATTGTAACATATTCAGAAGCGAGCGTTGGCCCTTCCCTCTCCCTTACTCTACTAGAACGTCCACAGTTCAACAGAACTGCACAGAACAATTAGTTCAAGTTCTCATCAAAGAGACAGTTATAGGCACTTTTCATACATTATTTATTCCTTTTGTACATTTTGATTGATTACAAATGTGTATGGCCTATAAGTTAAAGGCCTTCTGGAAAATTGGACAGAAAATTGAATGAGGGAGTAGAATACAAAGTTATTTAGTCATTATTATAAGGATGCACCTTTCACAGGCCGATAGAAAGTTCACTCTTCC